TAATCCTTAAGGTAACATTTTTATTATGTCATAAAAAGTGCATGGCAAATATATTATAACTCATGGACTTTGTTTAAAAATGAACGGATAATTTATTGAGTGTGTTACATGAGCCTTGCTCCCCTCCCCATTTCAGTTGAGACCTGCTGCTCATTTAGCCTAGCCTCCTCTTGAGTGCTCCCACCCTGTGACATGCTGGGAAGGCAGACCCATGGTTGGCTAGAAATGACATCATAGTTTATGTACTCAATAAAAATTTAATTAAGTCATTACAGGAATTGCAGTCATCATTTAACCCTCTGATTTCTTCTGTTTAGTTTATTATTAAACATTCAGTAATACCAGTCACTGAATCCTGATGGCTTATAAAATATCTGCATGAATTTTAATAGCTTAAATAAATGGGAAAATATGAGTAACTGATATAAAAGGAAACTTTTCCTTATGTTGGAGCTGTATGTATGGGTTTTATAAAAAAACAAAGCATTATGGAAAGAATAAGAGCTTAATAAGAGAATAGCCCAACACTATCTGGGAGGAGTTTCTCTTCTGCTGGGTGCCTCTGTGTATTCATGGGCAGACTGCTCCATATAGAATGATCTAGCAATGGAAAGATGGGGAAACAAAAGCTTAAATGAGGGAATAAAATCCAACAAGGGTTCACCAGAGGGGATATCTGGCTCCCTTTGGCAGGGCTGGCTAGAATGGCCCAGCAGAGTCCAGTAGTTGAAGCTGCTGTCACTTACCCTCACCTGTTGCCTGCAGATCATGTGTCTACACTGATTGAGCTTCCTCCCTCTTCCAAGAAGGGCCCTTTTCATGATCTAATACAGCCTTGGTGATGATATCTGAAAACCATCCCTAGCAACATACCATCTTTCAGCTAGGGGTGAGGGGAGAGGCAGCTTATAGGTCACTGGAGTTAAGAGTATGGGACCAGGAAGTTGAGGAACCTTGCTTACAAGGATCTCAACTCCTGTGCTTCTTTCTTCCTAGGCAGCACCAGCCAGAATGCAGGTGCATCCCAAGAGGAGAAAACGTGTTGTTTGTACACAGCCTTGTTGGAAAGCAAAAAGTGAGGTTTGCAGATTTATATGTTGATGATCTCTGGAAATGCCCTGCAGATGGGGAGGTAGGAACAACACTTGCCCAGAAATCCTGGCACTGACACTAACTTGATCTGTGACCTTGGATAAGTCTCTTGTCCTTTTGGGTCTCAGTTCACCATTTCTTCAAGGGTATTGAGCTAGGTGATCTACGAGAACCTTTCCTGCCCCAAAGGTTAATGGCGTGATGCAACATGTAAACTAGCTCTGCTGGGCAATTGTGGTGACTCTTCTCTTCGTGCACAGCCAGGAGAACAGTTTGTATGGGAGTAGGACACCTAAATGGGTGTCTAGAAGTCTGGGTTGTAGTCTATCCTCATATGACAGAAGGAAGGAACTCTAGCTCTGGCTTGTTTCTTGACTCTTCCTTTCACCCGAGCCCCATTCTGGAAGATGGGGCAGTAGAAATTTTGCATATGTGTTTATGAAATCAGAAACATGGGAAGTATTTAGTAGCAAAAAAGAAGAAGAAACCCAAAACCACTGGTGTTACTAGGTAGCACACATTATCTGTGGTACTCAGGCTCTTGTGAGGATTCAGTCCTCACCATGCCTGTCTTAGGTCCTCCTCTGGGCTAGGTGCTGGACCTATGACTTTTACATAGTTCCCAGACTTAGGACAGAGACAGGTACATAAGCACCTCTAAACTGTGTTGTGTACACAGGGGAGAAGTTTGCACAGGGAGCAGCGAGAACACAAAGGATGGATGGCTAATGTGGCCTGAGTTGAAGGTAGGCAGGAAAGGTCATGGTTTGCACTTCCGGCTACATGCAACCTCACATTTTCCAGCCTTGAGCTTCACAATTCTCCATTTTTGAAAATTATCCATGACTATAAAGTATTGGAACTGGTTTTAGTTTTATATAAACAAACCAGAAGTTATTACTCATAATTCCTTGCATTTCCAGAGTACTCTGCAGTCTACCAAGGCTTTCAGCATACATTTTTAAATTGATGAATGAATACATGCTCACGTGCAATTCAAAACAGCCCTGTGTGAAGGGCATTTAAAAGATAACAGCAATGAACTTAGGTCATTTGACTTGCTCAAGATCACAGCCTGGGTAAATAGCAAAACTGTGTACGTCCGGTTTTCTGACTCTCAATCCAGATCCTTTTACCCTTTCTGCCTTTTTTCAGAGACTATTACAAACCACAGGATAAAATCACTTAGTCTTTGATTTGCAATCCCAAGTAAAAATTTCCTTCTAGTGGCAGGTACCCAGTAAGGAGCATAGACTTTGGATTTAGATTCAGAATAATCTAGATGCTAGGCTCAGCCTTATCATTAATTTGCTGTGCAACCTAAGGCAAGTCACTTCACCTGTCTGAGTCTCTCATATAGTCACCTATGGTCTATGAGTGACTGCTACGCATCTGTCTACCTCTCTGAGTTCTGATGACAATCAAAGGAGATGTTGTCTGTAAAGCATGTAGTACAGGTCAGGTGCTCAGTAAATAGAGGAGATGACAGCAGGCATGGTGGTGGTCAAGGTTATTAAATACCAATTTTATTTTCTATATAAAGTTCCAAATGACTTTTGACTTTTAATAAAACTTATCACCTGTGGCTCAGTATACTGTCCATGGCGGGTTCGAACCCAGCCCCCGCCAAATTGCAACAAAAAAATTACCAGGCATTGTGGCAGGCACCTGTAGTCCCATCTACTCTAGTCCCATCTACTCGGGAGGCTGAGGCAAGAGAATCGCCTAAACCTAAGAGCTGGAGGTTGCTGTGAGCTGTGATAGCACAGCACTCTACTAAGGGCAACAAAGTAAGACTCTATCTCTAAAAATAAAAAATAAAATAAAAGAAAAATAAAACTTGTCAGTTTAGATAGGCAGCGAGTCCTTATTCCATGTTACACATTATGCTTGTTTTCTTTTTCTTTCTTTTTCTTTTTTTCTTTCTTTCTTTCTTTTTTTTGTTTTTGTTTGAGACAGTCTCAAGCTGTTGCCCTGGGTAGAGTGCCATGGTGTCATATCTCACAGCAACCTCCCACTAAGGCTCAAGTGATCCTTTTGCCTCAGTTTTTCTATTTTTTTTTTTAGTAGAGATAGGGTCTTGCTTTTTGCTCAGGCTGGTCTCGAGCTTGTGAGCTCAAGCAATCCACCCAACTTGGCCTTCCAGAGTGCTAGGATTACAGGCATGAGCCCCTGCGCCCAGCCTACATTATACTGGTTTTCCCCTGAGATCCCAGAGAGGAATAAAACATGGACCCTGCATATTATTTTCTGGAGGCAAAAGTTTTACCCTGTTGAAGATACTCTGTGAACTATATGCTCTAGGCTCTGAAGGCCCTCCTGGCCATTCCCTAAAGGAAGTTCTACCAGAGTTTCTGTGGTCTCACTGGAATTGCATTGCCAAAGCAATCTCTTGGCTGGGTATGGTGGCTCATGCCTGTAATCCTACCCCTCTGGGAGGCCAAGGCAGGAGAATTGTTTGAGCTCGGGAGTGCAAGACCAATCTTGCTCTTTGAGTAACAGCAAGACCCTGCCTCGACCAAAAAGAGAAAAATTAGCCAGGCATGATGATGTATACTTGTAATCCCAGCTACTCTAGTAGCTGAGTCCAGAAGTTTGAGGTTGCAATGAGGTCATTATACTCTATCCCAGGCAATAGACCAAGGTCTTGTCTCAAAAGACCCAAACAAACAAAAACACCAGTCTCTTAACACTAGCAGTCTTACTACTTCAGTTTCTCATCTTCTTCCTCCTCTCCATAACTTCAGAGACCCTCCTTTCTTCCAGTATCTCACTCACAGTCCCACCTCTTTCCCTCCTCTTCCTACCTCTGACAACTTCCTTCCTTTTGTTCTTTTACCACATCAAGCTCTTTTGATTGGCCATTAAGACATTTCCTAACCTGCTCCCAACCTACATGTCCACTGTTCCTGCCCATTCACCCTCCCTGACGCTCCCCAAACATTTTCCTTCCAGCCTCTGTACCTTGCACACTTTGTTCCCTCTGCCCAGAATACTGTCTGCACCCCCTTACACTCTCCTGTCAAACTCCCTCTCCTCCAAGGTCTTCTTGAATGTTACCTTCTAGCAAACTCTTCTCCAGCTCCCTCAAGCAGAGGACATTTGCCTTGAAATCTGTTTATCTTTCAGCATGTTTAGAATAGGATTTGAGGCAACACATTACAGTGTAATTGTTTTTTACATGCATATTTTCCCTATTAGACCATGTGCTCCTTCCATCAAGAAAGTGTTCCTGGCTCAGCGCCTGTGACTCAACCGGCTAAGGCTCCAGCCACATACACCTGAGCTGGCAGGTTTGAATCCAGCCCAGACCTGCCAAACAACAATGATGGTTGCAACCAAAAATAAAAAAAAAAAATAGCCGGGCATTGTGGCAGGCGCCTGTGGTCCCAGCTACTTGGGAGGCTGAGGCAGGAGACTCGCTTGAACCCAGGAGTTGGAGGTTGCTGTGAGCTATGATGCCACAGCACTCTACCCAGGGCAACAGCTTGAGGCTCTGTCTCAAAAAAGAAAAAAAGAAAGTGTTCCTTAGCTGGGCATTGTGGCGGGCACCTGTAGCCCCAGCTACTTGGGAAGCTGAGGCAAGAGATCACTTAAGCCCAAGAGTTGGAGGTTGCTATAAGCTATGATGAGAAAAAAAGAAAGAAACTGTTCATTTTACTTTGTGTTCATATGATCTAGCACAAAATCCAACATGTGGATTTGTGTGATTGGGAATAAAAACCTTAAACAAGTTAACAAATCGGAAAGAATCCTGATAGATCAGAGTTGACAGATAAGACTGGAAGTTTGACTTGTTGGGAGCCCTCTTACTCTACCAAAAGTCTGTAACAGCTAAGAATCAAAGATTACACTTTCTGTTTTTTTCTTTTCTTTCACATTTTTGTTTTTGTCATTTGTTTCTGTAGATTAATTCCTATATCCTGAAGAAGAACATGATCCTCATGACAAATAATTTCTATGCAGCTATTTTGGGATATGATGAGGTAAGATCATTTACCAAGCCTTGGTAGAATATTGGCCTCCTCCAACAAGGCCTTTTGATGAGAGCCTCTGAAGGAAGCTTCAGAGACCATCGTCACTGCCTGCCATTGTCGATTAGTATTTATTTATTCATCTTCATCATCTGCATTTAGAATGAATGTGCCCAGCAATTAGCCTCATGTTTAGGAAAGAGAGCACTATCTAATATGGTCAAATCAATCAACTAGTAAGCATTTACTGTGTGTCTGCTGGGTACTAGAGGGAGGACAAAGGTAAATCAGACACGGTCTTAGCCCCTCCCAGAGAGAGGAAGATATTCCTATAAACAGGCCAGTCTGCTAGAAAATTATACACTTTTTTTGCTTTAATTATGAACTGGGCCGGTGGCTTGTGCCTGTAGTTCCAGCTACTTGGGGAAGCTAAGGTAAGAGGATCGCTTGGACCCCAGGAGTTCAGGCCAGCCTGGGCAACACAGTGAGACACTACCCCGCATTGGACAAATAAAATGTAAAACTGTCCATAAGTGGAAGTGGTTTTAATAGAAAATAGAAGGCCCATTTTCTTTCCTGCCCAGTTCCCTAGAGGAAACTCCATCAGAATGTGTAAGGCGTCTCACCTGGTCTAGAGTGCAGACAAGCATCTGTATGTGCTCCTTCTTTATGCCTCTGTACCTGGCACTGTTCTGCAGCTTCATTGAACAATATATGTTGGGCAGCCCTCCACATCAGACCTTTTAAATCTATCTCATCTTTTTTTCAAATTGTAAAATATACATAACATAACATTTACCATTTTAACCATTTTTAATCTTCAGGGTTCCTCCATGCTATAGAACCTATCTCATCTTTTTTCACCAAACTTTTGTTATGGAAATTTCAAGTATGCTATGTATAATCTGCTTCCATGTATAATGCACACCTACATTTGGGCCCAGAAATCTCAGAAAAATCCCCCTTGAGAAAGTGACTGGCTTTTGGCCAAAGGAGATATATCCAGAGAGGGCTAACTCTCCCCTGGTAAACGTTCTAGATTGTACCTCCCTCCCACAGCTGCCTGCTCTGTGAAGGCTGCCCCCTCCCTCTTTCCCAGGATCCCACCTCTCCCCACCATGTTAGAGATTGCTGCTGAGATGGTCAACATGTGGCTGGCAGGATGGGAGCTTCTGAGACTGCTTGTCCCATAGATAGCCAGGCAAGTTTCTAAGGCCTGCACAGGGTTCCTGGTTCCCTCCATGTTTCTAGGCCTCAGCCCTTGCCCCACACAACCATGCCCCTGCCTTGCCGCCCTGCCACTGCCCTTCTTCTGATTGCAACAGTTGGCGGAGGCCACTCTGGCCCTCTCCCAATGGATCCTGGATCCTCCCAGATTGGAATCCTGTGTGCCCGGCAGGCCCAGGCGTGAGGGCATGGTGGCCCTCGAAGGCCCACTGGACTCCTCTGTTCCTGAGCCATGCTACCCGTGTATAATGTGCATCCTTATTTTTCCCTCAAAAATTTGGGCAAAAAGTGTGCTCAAATTATATATGACTAGCATGGCCTAAATATAGGGTATATAGAAAAGTTAAAAGAATGGCATAATGAACACCTGTGTTCATGCCACCAACATTCATCATACCTCATATTTTGAATGAACCCTGTACTTTTATACTAATTTTGTGGTTACCTCCAAATTTAAGCATCACCCCTCCTGGAAAGCCATCCCTGAACTTGTCCAGGTTTAGGTCATCCTGCTCTCCCTGGACTCTTCGCAGGGGTCACTACATTAGCATTAATTGTTACCCTGGCTGTGTAGAGATTTTTCTGGACAATGGTAATATATATTGTATTTCTTTTGCCTAGCATAGTGCTTAGCACTTGGTAGGCAAAAAATGAGGAAAACAAGAAATGCGTGAAGGGATGAAATTAAGAAACTAGAGGTAAGACTGGAGGAAATGTTATCAGTCTGACAATTAAAGCCAGCAGATAAGCTTACCAAAAAAATTAAGTTAAATGACTTGGGTTAGTGTCATGGGACCAGTTAAAATTGGGGTCTTCTGATTCCCAATCTACTAGCGATATCCTTAATTATAAGACAGCAATTTAGGCTGGGTATGGTAGCTCATGCCTGTAATTCTAGCACTTTGGGAGGCCGAGCTAGGCGGATGGCCTGAGCTCACGAATTTGAGACCAGCCTGAGCTACATTGAGACCCCATCTCTAATAATAGCTGGGCATTGTAGTGGATGCCTGTAGTCCCAGCTACTTGGGAGGCTGAGACAAGAGAATCACTTGAGCCCAAGAGTCTGAGGTTGCTGTGAGCTGTGACACCAAAGCACTATACCGAGGGCAACAAAGTAAGACTGACTCAAAAAAAAAAAAAAGATAGCAATTTAACTGTATACCATACACATAATTAATTTAATATGAGCTTCTTGAGAATGGGTTGAGTTTTGAGAAATACTGCTTAAATGTACCTATCAGTTGTTAAACTGGATAGTTTCTGATTTCAGAAACCTTATAATATAAAAAAGAATGATTGAAGAAACATAACTGTATTAAGTTGCTTTATGGCAGGTGGTTCTGTTGTCTCAGTTGGTCCCTTCATCTGGATTCATATAAATATACTGAATTGTATCTATTCTTTGTCCCCATCTAGTCTATTTTGGCAGAGACATTTTATCTAAACATACCTGATCACAAGAGTCTCCTAGGGTGGTTTTTTTTGGAGACAGAGTCTCACTATGTCGTCCTGGGTACAGTGCTATGGCGTCATAGCATTGTAAGTATATTGATGAAGAAAACAAATGTGGTCTGGCTCTTTCCCACTGTGCTTACATCCTTTTTTTTTTGTTATGAGACAGAGTCTCACTATGTCACCCTGGGCAGAGTGCTATAGCGTCACAGCTCACAGCAACCTCAAACGCTTGGGCTTAAGTAATTCTCTTGCCTCACCCTCCCAAGTAGCTGGTACTACAGGCGCCCACCACAACGCCCACCTATTTTTTTTTTTTTTTTTGTAGTCGTTGTTTAGCAGGCCCTGGCTGGGTTTGAATCCACCAGCCCTGGTGTATGTGACTGGTGCCCTAACCCCTGAGCTATGGGCACCAAGCCTATGCTTTAATTCTTATAATTCTTACTGAGAGACAGTCAACAAGTAACAAGTAAACAAGCAAATAAATATCTAATTACAAATAGAGTGCATTGATAGAGAATGACTGGGAAGAATGACTTAGTGTGGAGACTGAGATGGCAGCCGCTCATGGAGAGTGCCTTGGCATATTGCTGTGCAGGTGGGTGTTCATTCATCCCACAGGATTTTATTCTGTGCTGTTGTTAGATACGTACTGGCTTTGTCCCTTCAATAGCTCAGAACATATTGCTGTAATCCTGTGTTCTTAGCATCATGCTAAGCACACAGTGGTGTCAAGTCAGTCTTAAGTGAGTGAAATTTTGCCACTCTAAACCCTTAACCAGCACCCGAGTTCTCTATAGCCAGAATAGCCCCTTTGGCTTCTTCTCACTCTCCCAAGGATATCCATCCTGGCCATGGGTCAACGTGTGGATTATGTGAGGACTTTTTTGCTTATGTGTGGTAGCAGGTATCACGAAAATTGTACATAGACCCTTTCATTGTTCATCAGCTTTTGTGGTCCAAGACAACTCTCCTTCTTCCAATGTATGGCAGAGAAGGAAAGAAGTTGGACACCGCTGTTAACCTAAGTGTCTTAATTTCTTTTTTTTTTTTTTTTTTT